TTGTAAATTAAAAAGTAATGCGTTACTTTACTAGTTACTTGAAAAAAGTAATCCGATTACGTAACTCGCATTACTTGTAATGCGTTACCCCCAACACTGGATATCGCAAGTCCCAGAAAATGTGTTGTAGTCCAAACGAGTCGCTCGTTGTAGTTTTTGAAAACTGATTTCTGTTAAATAAAATATCTCCTTTTGAAGTGGACTTTGAGCTTTGTAACTTTGCAGATCTTTTTTTATGCTCAAACAGCAACATTACAGACTAACTAAATTATCTTGTAAATTAAAAAGTAATGCGTTACTTTACTAGTTACTTGAAAAAAGTAATCCGATTACGTAACTCGCATTACTTGTAATGCGTTACCCCCAACACTGGATATCGCAAGTCCCAGAAAATGTGTTGTAGTCCAAACGAGTCGCTCGTTGTAGTTTTTGAAAACTGATTTCTGTTAAATAAAATATCTCCTTTTGAAGTGGACTTTGAGCTTTGTAACTTTGCAGATCTGTTTTATGCTCAAACAGCAACATTACAGACTAACTAAAGTTGCGTAATAGGACCCCTTTAAATAAAAAGTATTTCTGTCCTGGAGAAACGCCAGTATTTGTGGGTTCATATTTATAAAAAACAAACAAAAAAACAGAACTTTTTTTTTTATTTTGTTTGACCCCCAATAATTTGTTTTAATGAACTGTTTAACTTTAACCAAACAAACCTGTAAGTTGATTTGTCTCACTTGTGAACCAAATGACAAACAAAATATCTCGGGGACAGACAGAAATAATCACCCACACACACACAAATCAAGAAACAAACATTTGCTGCTCTTCTTTTTAAACTGAGCAAGTAAACAAGGATAAAAAAATACTCAAAAACAGCAAAACAAATCTAATCTGTGCTGCACCACTACCAATAGGTGCACCTGGACCATATCAGGTCCGTGACTTCAACTAGACTCCAAAGTCCTGTCAGAGTCTAGATGGTGCGTGGCACAGTCAGTGTTTGATTGTCTTTGTATATAGATGATCATTTGTAAGAAGGAGAGATGGGGAACTATGTATTGTGCATTGACCGTGTCCATTTGGCTCTCAGCTAACTGAAAATCCATATCAATCATTCCTAACATCCATCTTTTTTTAATTAATACAATAAAAGATTTTAATTCTACAGTTGTCGCTTCGTCAAGCCATTCTGCACTGATCCGTTCCACAGTGTCGGCAACAGGACGTCACTTAGCTAGTGCACACTGCGCAGTCTGTATGATCTGATTAACGTATAGTAGACGTTCCAGTTTGGAGCTTCAGAAGTTACTTCCCGTGGCCTCCCCACAGACTTCGCGTAGTCATGTGACAGTAAAGGTCTCTCTGTGTGTATTCATGCGCTTGCAAAACCAAAACGGTCTGTGCATATGTATGTGTGTGTTGTAAACAGTGCTTTCTCGTGAGGAGTGCTGTAAGTGGCGCTCGGACGTGAGGTGAGTCTCTTGCTCAGAGTGTGGAGGGAAAAAGGACGAGGCCACATGATAAGACCATGACAGTACCGGAGAAAGGCACCTCAGGAAGACCACGCCGGTGGGATGAGCTCCAGCCCGCCACTGCTAATCCGGCCTGAAGATGGGAATCTTGGGCATAAACTCTATTAGGATTACCTAGAAAAAGGACAGAGAATGTGAAATTACGCATTTCACGGTTTATTGTATTTGAAGCAGTCACTGTGCAATTAGATTAGGGTGTGTTTGTAGTTGGCTTACATATTCCATCATGTTGTTCGTGTCACACTTCCTTTTGCTGAGCCTCCAATGCAAACACAACTAAATGAACAGAGGGCATGTAGTAAAATTAGCACCAGACAGGAAAATACAAATAGCAAACAAGCAAGCAGCCTTGAAAATACCTTGTGATACAATCTGCTGTTTTCCCACTCCAATAACTTCTCTATGGATCTGCGTGTCTATAGGCGAAAAATACACATTATTCAGTATATGATAAGTAAAATCACTAGAAAAGAGCGTGTAATTTATGTCCTTTAATGTACATTACTGTTCAAAAGTTTGGGGTCTGTAAGATTTTATGGATCTCATATGATCAACAAGGCTGCATTTGATCAAAAATACTGTCAAAACAGCAATATTGTGAAATATTAAATTAAAACATAACTGTTTTCTATTTTAAAATGTGTATAATATAATTTATTCTTGTGATGGCAATGCTGAATTTGTAAATACAGTTTTTGTGTTGCTTGATCCTTCAGAAATCATTCTAATATGCTGATTCGGTGCATAAGGAACATTTATTATTAAAGGGTTAGTTCACCCAAAAATTAAAATTAGGCTGTGTTTTACTCACCCCAGAGCCATTCTAGGTGTATATGACTTTCTTCTTTCTGACGAATCCAGTCGGAGTTAGATTAAAATTGTCCTGGCTATTCCAAGATCTATCATTGCAGTCAGCGGGTGTTGCAGCGCTTCAGTCCAAAAGAAGTTAAATAAAATCACCCATCCATAAAAAAAAAAAAGTGTCTCACACGGCTCCGGGGGGTGAACAAAGGCCTCCTGTAGCGAATCGATGCGTTTTTGTAAGAAAAATATCCTTATTCAAAACGTAATAATCACTTTAATCTAGCTTGCGCTCACTGTTGTAAACGGAAGCAGTTCCAGGCGGATGACGTATGAGGTCGGCTTTGCTCATGCGCCGCTCAGAAGTGACGAACGCGGAAGCGCAGGGGAGAGATCAAAACAAAACAACGGTCACTTATTAGAAGTACAAAACGAGGATTTGTAAAGAAGAATGTCGGAGGATTTCGATATAAGCCAAGAGGAGACTGGTTTTCCTTTGCTAAAGTAAGGAAACTTTGCTTCCTTTGATCCTGTAAACAAACGTTGGTTTTCACGAGACTGACTAGCGCATGCGCAACGCTGACCTCATACGTCATCCGCCTGGAGCTGCTTCCGTGTACAACTGTTGGCGCAAGCTAGATTAAAGTGATTATTACTTTTTGAATATGGATATTTTTCTTACAAAAACTCATCGATTCGCTACAGGAGTCCTTTGTTCACCCCCCGGAGCCGTGTGAGATGCTTTTTTTTTTAATGAATGGGCACTTTTTATTTCACTTCTTTTGGACTGATGCATGCAACACCCGCTGAGTGCCATGAAACAGCTTGAACGATCAAGACAATTTTTAATATAACTCTGACTGGATTCGTCTGAAAGAAGAAAGTCATATACACCTAGGATGGCTATGGGGTGAGTAAAACACAGCCTAATTTTAATTTTTGGGTGAACTAACCCTTTAATATCAAAGTTGAAAAAAAACTGTTCTGTTCTGTTTCAAAAGAACAGCAATTATTTGAAATAGAAATGTTTTGTAAGATTGTAATTAAATATAATTACTGTCACATTTGATAATTAATTTCTTTAAAAAAACAATCGCGCTTAATAGCATCCAAAATAAAGGTTTTTGTTTGCATAGTATATGTGTGTGTACTGTGTACATTATGTATATATAAATACATACCCATGCATGTATATATTTTTAAAAAATATGTTACGTCTATATTTTAAATATATTTATATATAATATAAATTATATGAATATAAATAAACATATATGTAAATATTTTCAATATATATACTGTATGTGTGTGTATTTATATATACATAATAAATATACACAGTACACACAGATATATTATGTAAATAAAAACATTTATTTTGGATGCGATTAATCGTTTGACAGCACTAAAAAAAAAACCTGACCAGGTCTACTGTTGTCAGTTATCCAAGACAATTTTGTCCCTCATTCTGTCAAAAAAAGGAAAAAACATGCCACAAATGCTTTTGATAAAGCTAAACTTCCATTAAGCGAGTGACTCTGAACACACTCACCCTCTTGCTCAGACAGATGACCGGCCACAGACTAAAGCCCAGAGTACAGCAACAGCACAGACAGCCACACAGCAGCCAGCGCACATTCACTGGGAGAGCCTTCCTCAGACAGCCGTTCACACGGTTTATGCTGGCTTTGAACTCCTCCGGTGCGACCTGCCAATGAACAAATGAAGCAGTATTCTAATAACCCATGTGTGACCTCAACATTACATGTGGTAGTACTCACCACATTGGGTAATACACACTTTTTGGAGCTTGACAACCAGTTACCGTGAAAAAGAGTACCTTGAACATTCTGCTAAACATCTCATTTCACGTTCCACAAAAATTTGGGGTGAATAATTTCTTTAAGCATTATATAAAGTAACAGCATTAACAGAATTATTTCCTTTCATTTCTGATTGCCAGCAACAACGCTTTTCACTTCTTCTCATTGGGATTAGTGAATAATTATGCATTTAACAGTATTTTCTTGAGACGGAACAGCCACTAAAATTACACTTACCTTTCCTGTAAGGGCTGAGGGAAATTCAGACTCAAATTTATTGCTCAGTCCAAACCTGCAGGGAAGAATAAAAACTATTTAAAATATTTCAATTTCTCAAACTTAAATGTCCACAAAGGCATAAGTAGATTTACTGTATATCTACTGCAATACTCTATATACTAAAATATATTTGTTAATTTTATTATACAAGACCAGGGTCCGGAAGGGAGTGCTAGGGGTCTGTGTAACAGTTTACAGAAAAACGGTGTAAAAAAATATTAAAATAAATACATAATATTTGATTAAAATAAATAAAAAATTAATAAGTAAACAAATGAGTAAATAAATCTAACAGTGCAGTACTGTCGTGTAAAAAAAAAACACAATGTAATTATTTAGAAGGAAATATTTTGGAACATATTTAGTTTCTGTTAAGCTACATTGCTTAATATTTTAAACATTTTAGATTTATAATATTCATTTTTCACAGTATAGATTAAGTCTTTAAGTCTTCCAGAAACTATATAGATGCCTTTTAACTTTTTGTATCCCTGGCACAAATCATATTTGAGGTTCTGTGGTATCTAAAAGATAAAACCCAGGTACTAGACAACAAAAATTAAGGTTTCAAAGCTTAATTTCTTCTATGTAACACACACACACACACAAAATGACAGCCTGTCATCATTTCCTTCATAGCATGGAGAAAAATGTAAACGATGACTGAGGCTGTCAAAAAGAAAAGCAGAAAGAAAGTCACACAGGTTTGGAACAACGAGAGGGTGAGAAACTGATCACAGGACTTTCATTTTTGGGTGAACTATCCCTTTAAATGTACAATATATAAGCTGCCCTGTCAAAACCGAGCATTTAGGAGCATTGTATGTGCAACTGAAGATTTAAAATGCTTTCTAGGTTGTTAAATTATGAGTCTAGGACACTACCACTATTTTCTTGGTTGTTGTAATGACACTTAGCATGTCTCATGTGTTTCTAAACGAGCTTTGGTTTGATCAATTGATCAACGTTATGTACGAACAGATCCAGAGCTGCCGGTGTCTTACACAGTGACGTGCCCGGATCCGCACACTACCACCGGGTCCGGAGCGTATTTGAGCAGCTGCTCCTCCGCGGCCTTGTCCTCGTCCTCTTCTTCCTCCTCCTCGTAAATCTCATCAAAGTCCTCCATCATCGCCCCCCGCCTCGGCCTCTTTGCTTCCCGAAAGAAGCGCCGAGAAAGACCGTGTTTCGCTCACGTTAAGCAAATATTGGCAATAACGCAGATCGCACGGCCGAGAAGAGAAACGACGGCATAGAAATCCGGAGAAAAACATCAACATCCGCCGAAAATCTCGTGCGGGTTGATCTCGGGATACATCGCGAGAACATGTAATTGGGGCTTTCTCATCTCAGACAGCCTGCATTCTTTAACTGGTAAAATCATTCCTGCCTCAGCACTTTGAAAGAATAGTTTAATGATTTAGTGCCATAATTCAAAACATGTTTCCCTTTTGGTCTGCATTTACTATTTTCAGAGGTACATCAAAATACATACAAGTACCATTTTATTATATATAGTAAATATAATCTACCAAGCTTTTTAATTAAACATTTCATTAAACAAATCCTAATGTTTCTAAATATTTGCACATTTTTATATTTAGTATGTAATATCACACAACTTGCCAAGAAACTGATCATTTAAACTGACAAAATAACTGCTGAACTTTACCTATGAATTCTGAAAAAAGTATCACTTTCATAAAAATATTAAGTATTTTAAAAATAATATTAATAAGAAATGTTTCATGACCAGTGATTTCTGAAGGATCATGTGACACTGAAGACTGGAGTGTCTTTGAAAATTCAGCTTTGTAAACACAAGTATAACACAAATTTTAAAATATATTCAAATAGAAAACAGCTCATTTAATTTGTAATAATATTTCACAATCTTACTGCATTTATTTATTTGATCAAATAAATGCAGGCTTGTTGGGTGTAAAAGATTTGAAAAAAAAAAAACTACATTGCTCACAATATGTGAAAAATAACTCATTTACAAGATATGAAAAGACACAAACACTACCAAATGCTCTTTTTTAATCCAACAAATCAACATCTACATGGTACAACTGCACTGGAGAAAAACAGCAAAACAAAAAAAAGGGAAACATGAAAACAAAAGGAAGGTAAACTGGATTATAATTTCATATAGCATGATTTGGTGGACAACCAACGCTCTGATGATAAGAAAGAAGGAGAGCGGAGAAGACAGACAGGAGTTACTCCATGGCCTCCTGGTTCTCCTGGTCAGCAGAACGCTCCTCACTGGGATCCTTGCCCTCTTTGCTCCTTTTGGACTTCTTGTGCTTGTGGCGCCGGTGACTGTCACCCTCCTCGCTGTCATGTCTCCGTCTGCTACTGCTGTGACAGTAGAAACAAAACAGAGAACTTCAGATTGTCTTGTTACCCCTTTAAATTGATTTCCAGAGGTATTTTTTTCTAACCTTATTAAATGTATCTTACAAGAGTCATCTTACAATTGCATAAATAATGAGATGAATGTTTTAAATGAAACATTTATTTATGAATGTGATGTTCTGGGAAAAGTTAAGTATACTTTTAAGATACTTTTAAATATGAATATTGTCATATGACAATAACATGGTGAATATAGTATGAATTTAAACCAAACGTACTACATAGAACATACGTTTTTTTTTAACACTCACAAAATTCTTTTTCAAAAGTACCTACTTTTTTTTTTTTTTTACCTACTCGGAGATTACTGGACACAGCCACAGTCTTAACAAGTGAGTCATCAAGTCACTCATTCCGTTCATTTGTTCAAAACAGCTGATTCATTTAGACTGTCTTATGAATGGATCATTGAATCATTCACTCAACCAAATCATTCATTCTTTTGAACACAAAAGATATTTTGAAGAATGTGGGTAACCAAACAGCTGATGGTCCCCATTGACTTCCATAGTATTTTTTTTCCCCCTACGGAATTTTAATTTTTGGGTGAACAATCTCTTTATTCAGGAAACAAAACATTGCTGTGTCCGGCGATGTGCAGTAGTGCTGCTGTGGCTTTGTTTGGAACTAATTTCATTGGCACTCGAGCAAAAAATATTGCCCCATATCTTAAAATTTGTGGGCATTTTTATTCATTTTGGAGCCATTTTTTTCCCCAAGCCTCCATTAATTTCCGACCCTGGTATAGTACCTCCGTGATGACTTGTGCCTCCCTTCCTCTTTCTCTCTGTGTCTCCTCTCCCTGTGACGCTCCTCCTTCTCTCGGCTCGATCGCTCCCGATGCCTCTCATACCCTCTGTCTCCGTAATCACGGTAAGAACGATACCGTTCTTCATCACTGCAAAATACCAAGTTTAATTCATCAATAGCTTAAAAACAGAACCAGAGAAACTAGGACTAATTATTTAAACCTTGAGAGGGTCAAAGATTTTTTTTTCTTTGGAATAAAATTTACTGATGAAACATACACAATAAGAATTTTAATATATGTCTACATTTGTCAGTTTATCAACAATTAATTGAGGGGTGTAATTGAGGGGTGTACATTTTCAAACTGAAAAACAGAGTACATGTGTATAGTGAATGAGTGGGTTGGCATCATCCCTAACCTGTTATAAACCACAGCAGAGGGACTATGGTCTCTCTCATGACCCCTTTCCCTCGGCCTGTCTCTCTCTCGCTCTTTTTCCCTCTCTTTGTCTCGCCGAGGGTAGTAGTCCCACTGCTTTGGGTTGTCCATCAAACCAGGCCAGGGGTTAACAGCTCCTTGCATGGGTGGAGGAAACCCACCTGAAAACGAAACAATCCACAGTGCACATGCTACTTAATTGAGCTTAATAAAGCCTGGAAAGTATTTAAGCACTTGTGATCTGTACTGAGATCTAAATTAAATGAGTTTTTCAGGTGAATAGACTAGGGAGATAGTCTCACACTTACCTGTAGGAAAAGGGTATGGAGCAACAGGACGTCCGTCATATCCTCCTGGGTGCCCACTGCTAAATACAACACACAGGCAATTAATGAAGTGTTAGTGTCAATTAAGGGTAACGTAGAGACATAGTTTCACAGAAAATTACATTTCAAAAACTGTATGTATTTAAATCTAAATACAGGACCCTAAAAACAAACAATTATATTATTATACACAGTCAAACCAAAACTTATTCAGACACCCTCAACATTTCGCACATTATCAGTTTATAAAATCGTTTAGAAAATGGTAAGAAAATATGACAAGAACTCAGAGTTAAAATGGTCGCATTAGCAATTAAAGAAAAAAACTCAAGCAAAACATGGTCAGGTCAAAGTGTCTGAATAATTTCTGGTCCCAAATTTTAATCAATTTTACTGGTAGTCCACTGAATGAAGAATTTTCGGGTATAATATGTCAGGGTTTACTTTATTTTGCTATCATCACTTACATAAATGAACTATAGTGTCCTGCACCCACTAGTAAAAAGATATCAAAAATTGTATCTGGTGTCTGAATAATTTTTGGTTTGACTATAAACACAAATATTTAATTAAATATTATGAAAAGTATTTTAAAAAAATCTAATAATATCTACTTTAATAATATCTCATTTCTATTTAAAAAAAAAGTTTGTTCCAGTGATCGCAAGGCTGAATTTTCAGTAGCCATTACTCTATTCTTCAGTGTTCTGTGACAGCTTAATAGTCTTTCCTATCACTTTTGATCAATTTAACTCATCCTTGATGAATAGAAGTATTAACTTCTTTTTTTAAATACCCGTCGATGTACACTAATGTTGAAAAAACTATTCGTTGAGTACAGAAGCTATGCCTACTTGTCCATAGTAGGGATAAGTGAAGGAGGGGGTCCTCCAGTAGGAGGGGGAAAATCTACAACACAAACAGAAACAAGATTTAAACAGAGACATATCAACAGTAAAAAGAGTAAACACAAGGGATTTGTTATTAAATTTTACACACAGTCAGAAAGTTTGCCGTTACAGTAGACAGGTGCTTTGGAAACATTTGAGAGGTTAATTCTGAGTTACTTTTGCTATGTTTGTTATGTTATTGCACATTCAACTTACTGGGTGGAGGAATGGTGATGGGCATCCCTGTAAAAAAAAAAGAAAAAAAAAAAGAAAGATGAAAACATTGCTTACAAAACCACATAGCCCATAACAAATACATAAAAATGTAACAAAATAAATGAAATCTAAAAAATAAGAGTTAAAAATGCTATGAGAAGCCACAGTGTCAATGGTTTTGAAAGTGATTTTTTCATACATTCATCGTGGATTTAAAATAAAAAATTAAATAAATTAATACAATTTCACAGTCGTCAGACTTACGTGGAGGTGGGATCAGAGGTGGAGCCTGACTGACAGGAGGAGGGAGGAATGGAGGAGGTGGGATGTTTGGAGGCAGCGGTCCCGGGGGAAAGAAAGGAGGAGGCATCTTGGCGGGTTCAGCCTCAGAGCTGGGATGTTCCGAGATCACCTACAAGTGTTAAAGTCACATGATTCAGTTCCCAGATATGTTTCCAGCATGTCAGTTTTACAGTGGAGACTGAGGAGAGCATGAGAGCATGTCATGTGTGTAACCTGGATGTTATTCCCCTCCAGATTGTGGCGACGTCGTCCTTCCACCCTGCTAATGGAGGCAGTCTGTCCGCCAATCACATCTATGGTCCCGGGAATCTTCCTGCAACAAATACAAACATACACATACAGCTTAATGAAGGTGTACATACATTTCTGTGTTTTTCAACTCTGTATTCCAGATGCATACATAACACACACACACCTCAGTAGGGCTGGGCGATATGACTATACAGCAGAAACGTGTTTGAATTCAGAAATACAGTGCAAGATGTGTCAGGACAAGCCCAAATGAGGAAGAACGGGTAATTGAGGGGTGTAACACAAGTTTAGTTGGTTACAGTTGCCAGGCAACCAGTGTAATTATACATACTATTATAGTATTTATTAATATTTTGAATTTTGTTATGTGCTTGGCAAGTATTTAGTATTAATTTATATTTCAGTTTGTTTGTTTTGTAATTTAAGTACTAAGTTTTTCATCTAATATCTGTATTTCATTTTATTTTAGTTTTGTTTCAGTTAATGAATTTTTTTAAAGTTTTAGTTAAACACCACTGCAGTAAATGTTGTGACTTGCAACATTTATTTTGAATTCAACTGATGTATAGTTATTTTTGCATGTGGCTTTTTTATCATATCAGTTCAATCATTTTCTCATTTAAAGGAACACTCCACTATTTTTGAAAATAGGCTAATTTTCCAACTCCCCTAGAGTTAAACAGTTGAGTTTTACCGTTTTCGAA